TCTATGATTCGAATATATTCGAGTACTCTTCGGAGTTTGACTCGCGAGTCACGAGTTAACACGAGTCCAGTCCCTACCCCCATGCTATCCAGAGGTACGTGTACTACTCACACATATTGATTTACTAAACAGTTAATCATAGCTACGTCTCTAATAATTGAGCTCTATAATATATGAAAAATCAGATACAATCGGGCACCTGGTTTTAATCTGATTGCTGATTGATGTAGCGGCATCAATCAGGCAATAATCGATCAGCAATCAGATTAAAATCAGGTGCCTCTGATTTTTCATTTTTCGACCTGTGGACATCATACAGGTGACAATTTACTATTGATATAAATCTGCAGCTAATAAAATGCTAATTCTAACCCTATGTGATGTCGGTTAAATGGCTGTCGAGAAAATGAATACATACCATAATGATAATAAAGATTAAGCAATATGTAAAATACAGTACAAACAATTTAAACAGTAGCATAAAGCTCGTTATTTATAGAACTTGTATACAACTAATATTTGTAAAGTGTATTATTTTTTGAATTCTGTTTTACGGTGAATATTGATATTCGTTTAAAACTAGAAATGGCCTTCATATAAGGCTCGATACACAAGTAAAAAATTTGGCACGCCCTGAGTTGAGGCATGCTCCCCTCATGGATACATCTAAATATCCAACAGTACGTGGTTTAACAGTTTTTAAAAAATTAGCTCAGATTAAGGTTGCCCATATAGGTAAAATTGTCTTACCGACACTTTTTATTAATTTTTCAAGGTAGGGTTGTTGTTTCTTATATTTTTGCAATTTTCTCTTTTTTTAGCATTGTTTCTTCGGGCTGATCCGATATGATCAAATTTCTCGATTGGATGTGCGACAGATCCTAACTTCTAGAGGTCTTACCCGGGTCGGAAAATACCGACCCGGGCGGGTCAGGTATTGACCCGGGTTATAACCCAGGTCAACGGGTCATACGGAAATTCATAAAATTTTTTAAAGTTAATCCTTAAAATTTGGCGTAACGACTCTTAATTGGTGCTATTAGTATAGAGAACAGCCTGTGCTCCAAATATTTAAACTGGACCCGAGTAAGAACTTTCTATTTAGTATAAATAGTCTTCTACACATTCAGCTATATTAAGTAAATTGCGTAATAGGGGATTTCAGAATTAACTTATTTCGAACATAAGTGGGAGCTTAAAAGAACCTAGATTTTTCAATTTTAATGAATTAAATAGACACACACGTTAATAAATATCTACCGGTAAATAAGTTTATACGTTAGATCACATGTTTGACGTAGATACCTAATCCGGTCAAAAAAATGGCGATTCAGATATCGATATTCATTTGATCAATTTTTTTATATTCGAATAACCGTCAAAAAATTCGAATAACTATTCGATATATTCGACGAATATTCGATGATACTCGATGGCAAAAATTTTTAGTTGTTTCATTTTCGACTTGTCAAAATTGCTTGTTGTTACATATTAGATCGCGAAACTAACATTGTTGAAATCACTAATCATTGTTGAAGTCACGAACCTAATCACGAACTAATTTTAATTTTTTTTTTACAGGTTATGGTTCGAAGAAGGAAGAGTGATTTTAATCAGCCCAGAGGTATTTAAGAGGTTTGATCACGTAAGTTACCATCTTTCTTTTCACTATCTTATAGTGGAAGCCGGTTTCTTCGTTAAACAGTACAACAGCAAGAAGTACAATGAACACTTGAGTAATGGGTTTCGCGGATACGGTGACGATGCAAGGATCTTGTTTTGTTTGTCGTAACGGCAGTGCGGGAACCTTTAGTTTTTTTTTTTTTTTCTGCAAAGATTATAAGATACTATACTTATGAATAAATAACCAATCAGAATGCAGATCAAAACGCCAACCAAATGTCACCGAATATTCATTGAATTAATCGGCGAAGAATAAATATATCCGAAGTTTGAATAATTACATATTTGAACATTCGAATAGATCAGACCTCTACCCCTAATATAGCATTTTAATAAGTTTTTTGCTTATTTTGAATTCTGACCCGGATTAGAGCAATTTGGTGACCCGTATGGGTCCTATCGTATATGTTTCTGCGATAAAATCAAATTTATGCTATTGCGGATATGCGCTAACCCTACCATGGCTTAATGGCATGCCCATAAGTATGTCCCAGAGGGCATAACAACTTTTTATTGTGAAACGTTTAGTTCTCAAAAAGCACTTTAAAACATATAAATAAGTTCCCCGGGCATTTGATTGTACTGAAATACTCAGGTGATTGATTTCAATTCGGGCTAGTTAGTGACATCCAGTGACTTGTGATTGGCCGACTATTTACCGTAAAAGGGGTACGGCTAAAGCGGTGTTAATTCAATATATGATCAACATACTACATAAATTATATTTTTGATGGCTTTATAACCATAACCCTTAACTGCATCAAGAAGGTAACTCTAAACCTTGCTACGCTTTAGCCATCCCCGTAGGTAAAGTATGTTTTATTATATCTACCTAGGGGTGTGCCGTTTATACGTAATTTATTTTTATTAGAAGGTCAAACACCTCCCTCCTAGGTGATAAAATCAGTAGCCAATCATAACGTTTATATTCAATATATAGACGTGATAAATTTCTGACCCTCCCCTAACATGATACAAAACTGGTGGAGGACGCCATGGGGGTACACAAGTCAGACTTTTACGGTAAGTCCAGTGATTATCCAGCTCCGGTAATTCCCGCAACCATTTACTATATGAAATTAACATTTCAAATACAAATGGTAGCTTGTCTTGTCTAAAAACTTGTTAGCAGCTTAACGACGGCTAGGCAACCATGTGAGTTAATCTCAGTTGAAAATATATACGGGAATTATATACCTTATTTGTATAATGTATTTCCGTCGATCCTTCGGAAGCATATCTATTCCAAAACGAAAATCTATTTATAAGCATCATTGTCTTTGTAAACTTCAATCTTAGACTTTAATGCTAAATTACAAATTATACCGAATAAATAGTTAACCTTGCGCATTTGTTTATACTTGCATTTGCATATTTGATCTTTCCAATTTTGACACATGTAAAGCAATGATGCAATAAAAAGCAAATTTGCATAATCAAAACGTACGTACGTACGTACACATATGTCTTATGTACATATGTAGTTACAGATTATCAATGATATGAATGAATTGAAAGAAGTATTACGAATATGGATAAATTACTTACTAAAGGATATATTAGGACTGTCAAAACAATGTTTGGACGGTAGATAAATCACGTGTTGAATAACAATTTAGATTAGAATAAATGAGTTAATAGGAAAAAAAGACCAACCGGACGTAATGAGATTCTAAAAATAATGTCGACAAAGACCAACGAAATTTCAAAGCACCAAGTTATTTATTCGAGGACTGTTTCGAAATTCCCGCAACTTTACAAATGCCTTGAATGAATGAATGAATGAAACTATTTATCGTACTATATTTTGGTAAACAGAAATGCATAAATAAATGTATTAGAAGATAATCTCTGCAAGTTATTGAATCAGAGAGGCAGAGACGCGATAACATTGTATCTGTCGGAAAAATTAAATGAACCATTTACGCGAAAACGCCAACTATTCATGCAACAAGATAAAAAAAAAATTAACGAAAAGAGAAGCAGCATATTAAATTTTCATTGATAGTATGCACATATATGTTACGCGTCGCAATAAGAGAAAATAATCAGGTGTTTCACAGCATGGGAAGGTTAAATTACCATATATTAACATGCACTGGGATAATCTAGTGATAAGCCAGATAAAGCACATATCTATATTGTATTCAGAAAATTCATCGGATAATGAAATAACTTAATAGAACAAATAGAACAAAAAAAACATCCTTGAGTTTCATTGATGCTTAAGGCGTATAAACATATGAAATATTTTTGACGTTCAAATGACATCTGAGGCACGCGACAAACCTTCTAAAGTTGTCAATAATTGGATTACATACGATCTTCTAAAAGACTTATATGGATCTTCAATACTGGATGAAATGGATAAAAGGTTAGCGAATATTCCAAGATATCTGGAGCTTAAAATATTTAAGAAGGGAATTCAATCACGATCACTTAATTGATGTATTTATTAAGATAGTCCGTTTATCACGAAGACTGTATATTATGCTTCTCGCATAAATTGATTGAAAATTTATTGAACAATGAGATTATCTTACGAAACACAAAAGCCCCCCCCCCCTTGCCTATCAAAAAATTTTCCCAAGACTCATGTCAACTGAGGTCTGAAATTAGAACCGGAAAAATAACAAGTTGATCAACCGTACAGCATGATATCATAGTTAAAGAATGATATTTAGAAACTAATTGGAACGAAGAAAATCCTTTGTCCCTTAAAAAAAAGATTATAGCTATTATATCACTAGCATATATTTGAACAATAAAGTATTGTTCAATCAATTACTCATCTCGGTTTTTTTGCAGTATTGCATGTATTACAAAAACCTACATACAAATATTTATGCAATAATTGCAATTTGTCGCGTCATTTCTTGAAACATGGATAAAGTTTTATTATAACATTATATATTAAGCCTCTTATTTCTACATGCGTTATCTTTCTAAAATTTGACCTATCACCGGCCGAATTGTCGCTGCAGAGTAGAAACAAAGCAAGTCACAACGTCAATGTAAACTTTAAAACACACCACTAAGAAAACGCGTAGTGAAAGTTTCTAAAATAACTTTAAGGTTTGTCCCTGCTCTCTGCAGAACAATATAAAGATTATTCATATTTCCTTTTTTTAATATCACTATATAAATTATGTACTTTAAGGACTTATACAAGGTTACTTTTCCCACGAGATATAACCATGATGTTACATTAATATCCAAATTTAGATCTTGACGTTTTTTCTTTAGTTTACAGTAGAATATATTGCAAAGAGATTGTAAATTTTACAAAATCCATGGATCATTAAAATATCTGGATTGTGGAAATTAGATCTACAAGGTTAGTATCGCTTCATTTCCTTTTCTCCTTCAAACAACATGCACTGTGCATATCTATAGCATGCATAGAATTTTCTCGTTTCTTAATTGATCATTGGTCTCAATCACTGTTTTGATGAATTCCACGGTTCAATTCAAGTGTGCGATAAACAGATCTTCTCAAACTAAAGAACTATATGGATAAATTCAACCTTAAACGATGAACATCCATATTCGGTTAGATTTTAAAGGCGATTCAGTAACAACGAAATCATATTTGTTTGTTACCAGTTGGATCAGTTGGCATTTAGTGGTACTTACCCAATGATAATAGCAAACTAAGGTTTTTCCGTGTCGCAACCTTTGACACAATAATTGTTTTTGCCAATTTTGTTTAAAACAACTGATGTAATTTAACTCAAAGTTTCAATCAATTCTTAAAAACCTTTGTTAGAAATTATTTATGGTGAAAGTTTATACGCATTCATGCACGTTATACTATCTCCTGTAATCCCCTAAGCTATGTAGATACTTTGGTATTAATGTTAAGAATATTAATAAATACTTAGACTACCAATTTAAAAAAAACTATAATAGTTCGGAAGTGGAAACTTTAAATTAAGTTTTGAAAAATTTTTATGCCTGTAGGTACATGCAGTTACGTGCATTCAGCATGAAATCAAAAAAAGCATAGCCTTGAAAAACAAGTATAAGATTGAATCGCTCTCCATAATTATTGAACTGTTGCATGGCTTACTAGTAGAAAGATAGGTAAAAAAAAGTACGTAGTATTTACTTTAGCACACGAAGAAATACAAAAATTGTAACTTCTCATAAATAAATCCAATTAAATCGTCTGTTATTTCGATCCTTTAGTATTATCTCGAGTAGTATACTGATTTTCTGACTGAATAATGTCAATTCCTGTTAATCGAAGAAAGAAACTGAGGATTTTTGATATTATTTTGCAAAACTAACTACTAGTGATAATACTGAAGAATCGACAATCTTTGATTCCAGATAGGTTAATTTGATTTATTTATATTTCTTCGTGATTGGCAACTTGTTGGACAAATCCCCTGCCATTCTAAAAAAAAAAATGAAAAATGGTTTTGATATTTTGCAATATAATATATAACGATGGGAATGTATCTTATTTGTTTAGATAAGGATTATTACCGTATTTGCGCGAAGTAATTATTACACAATTTCTAAAGGACTAAGAATTATTGCTGTTTTCAAAATTCTGTCTCCCTACGATTTTGGATATACCCCCTGCAGGGATATGAAAATAAAAACAGCGGGCAATTTAGATAATTTAGACGAAAATAGCATCATTAGGAAGTTCGAAAAGTGTTAAATAATACCCTTAAAAATAGGGTATTGCTATTGCCATCCCCTATTTTTGCTAATGCCACCCCCTCACATAATCCAATAATTAGAGTTAGAAATGTTGGAGGCAAATCAGATTATGCGAAGGGTGGCATTAGCAAAAATAGGGGTTGCAAGAGTAATTCCCTAAAAATATTGGTTAACAAACCTTTTGTAAGTTACCGATTTTTATTAAAATTAGCGTTAAGCAACAGAAGCGTGTTAAACACTTTAGTTATTGCAGTTAACTAATTAGTGCTGCTTAAAGTTGGTTAACATACTTTCTGTTGCTTAACGCTAATTTATTAATAAAAATCGTTAAATTACAAAGGGTTAACTAATATTTTTAAGGGTATTATTTAATATTTTTCGAACTTCCTGATGGTACTGTCGCGAAATAACGTCCCCAGGGTATTATTTTGTGACATAATTCCCAGAAAACGGATCCTTAGTTTTCTGGAAATTGTCTCTAATGCAACGCCCCCTAAATGCAATATCTCTGGTCCAAATATATGGGGTCTTTGCCTTGAAAATCAAGTTATGGGACATAGTAAATCATACGTCATATATTTGATTTTCAAGGCAAAGACCCCATATTTCTGACACCATAAATGCAATTATTATTATTCTCTAAATGCATGTGGTCAAAAGTTTGGTCATAACGAATTGCCTGTGTCATTTCCGCAAATACGGTAATAGAGTTTAACACTTGCAGCTGACGGGGATGTTAAAATTCTGGTCCGGTCAAGTCTTTAAAGAGTCTGGTCCATAACTAGTTAAGATCTAGTTTATAACCCCTGTCTGAAACCGGTCCTATCTTAGCAGATTAATGTATAAAACAATAGTGAATGAATATTGTGTTTTTATTATAATACGACAGAGTGAGTGAAACCCGCGCTGTGAATTAGTAAGATCCGTTACGTAGATCACATGAGGGTGAAATTCACTTTTGCATATCACCTAATGTGATCTACGTAGCGGATTTTACTAATTTACAACGCAGGTTTTACCCAGTCCTATTATAATTACATGAATTCGTTCCAGTATTATAATCATACTTGGATCGATGTAAATTAGTTAATTAGAAGACCTTGAGATCACAAAATTATAGGACTAGTTTCGGACTAAT